ACTAATTTAAACATTTATTTTGAGGCACACTTCCATTGTATCATAAGTAACCTCAAATTCTTTACTTTTTTTCAACTTTGTTGAAAGTCACATATTTGAAACTTGAAAATAGTCTTGTCAGGGCCTAACCCAATCAATAGCCTTCTAAAGACTGATGCTCTTGACCTTTGCTGGTATTTCAGGAATGTTTCACTAATTTCTGCATAATTGTCCCAGTTTTTATAGATCGGCCTATTTTTAAGAGTTTTGTTCTAATATTTTGATAACATTTCTCAGGTCAATATTTTCTATCTCCCATTTTCTATGCTATAAACCAAAGACACAGTTTGAAATAAGCTGCAATTTCTAGAGTATTCATTAAAAAAAAAACTTCCCTATAAGGAAGCAAAAATAAAGTTCTTCCCAAAAGAAATGCCATGGAATCCATACCTACCATGTCTATTGTGATCCTAATCCTATTATCTGCCATAACATAGATATCAATGCATCAATATTTTTTCATAAAGATCCTTGATTTGGCACTATATATTAGACTATGAAGAAAAATATTGCTAAATAGTTGATTATTTACATAAATGGAGGTTTTTTAGTCTTGAAACTCAGACCAAAGCACCAAAACTCCTTTTCCTATTTAGTTTTATTGAGATATTTTATGAGTGTTTCTTCCCAATCATCTAGGTGATTTCCTTTGACTGTTTAAATCTATTCCAAATCACATTATTTTATCTCTTGTCCTTTTTATTTTATTTTTGTACACTTCCAAAAAAAATTTTGTAGTTTGAGTTAAAGTGAAATTGTATAGCAGCGTATCATTTTTTATTAACATTACATAAACTTTTATTTTAAAAATGGGCCATATTATTTTCATAAATGGAACATAATCATAATATAAACTGAAACTAGTAAATAACCACTTGCATCATAACTTTTAATTCAAAAAGTGACAGAGTGAGGACAAACAAGCTGACATTAAAAATTTTTTTTTTGGAAAATTCCACGATAAGATAGAGGATCACTTCTCAGGCTTTTGGTTAAGATTAAGTGAAGATTGAGGATCATAACAATGTCTGACCAGTCTACCCCATTCAGAATTTCAATACTCTAAGTGATAATCAATGTCCATTATAACAAGCCAAACAGAGACAGACAGTCAATGCTTTCTGAATTGTCCTTATTCTAAAAACAATTTTCTTAGCTGGAATTAATTATTTTCTAATAGTTATTAGGGAGATTTCAGAAAAATGGATGTTTGTTGTACTAAATTATATGGAACTACTTTAAAAAACTAAAAAGTCAAAGTACTATTTGCAGGCTAGCTGATAACTTAAGAGTTCAGCTACTAGAATACTCAAGACCATTAAGTTTCAGATGACACCAGTTATTCATGAGTATTCATAGTTATGTGCCAGTGGGTCTCAACTCTGAGAGGACTCATTCCCTGCCCTAGAAAAATAGACTTTCATTTCAAAATTTCTCTTTGTAAAAGTAGTGGTATCTCTTCACCCTCATAATCTATTATCCTCTTGCTCTACTGTTCAAATCAGATGAACAAATTCTAAAACATCTTCTGACACATAAGAAGGGCACGTTCACTCCAGAAATACAGCATGTCCTATATGGACACTATGTATCCCAGTAATGTGGTAGAGCAATTTAGTTGTTTCAGCTCTGAAGAATTTAGTTTTGTTTTCAGAAATTATGTTAAACAATCTGAAATGGAATAGATAAAATAGTATGATTTTTTCTAGCTATAATCTGTTCAATAAATATAGCAAATAGTCTGATCCTGTTCCATTCTTTTTAAAAATATACCACAGACAACAAATTAAAGTCATTTTTGGCATTTTAGGATTTCAATGTTTTTAGACTGCTAGAAGATGGCATACTGCAAAGTATTATGATTTTACCTTTACATCCCCCAAAGATTCAATGACTCTTGTAAAGAACTGGAAATGGACCAAATTTTTACAATAACCTGAAATTGACCCACAGAACATTGCAGTAGAGATGCTGTTTTATTTATAGTCACCATCTCACACACTTTTATTGCTTTTAGTCTCCTGAGGAGCAGAGACAACAGACAATTTAATATAGGAAAAAATATATTTCGGGCATCTTACTATTAGAATTCTTTTAGTATATAGTTCAATTCAATGCAAATTTATATTGATAATTAACGAATTTTTATGCTGTTATAAATATAACAATGATATAATAAGAGTTTTCATATTTTTGTACAGATAATTATTTTAGATGTCTTCATAAAGTTTTTAAAATTATTTTAAAAATATTTTTTCTTCTTTGGAAGCTGGGAACACCCATTTTTTTTTTCAATTAAAGGGGAGTACTTTCTTCTTTTTCATTTCTGTAATTACCTTTATAATCCCTGACAATTACCTCTTATTGCACTTTAAAACAACATCCTTTTAGTTTCCTAAATGTCGGGTAATTGCCTGAACAATTCAAGGAATATGGCCAGAATTATGATCAAATGTTAGTTTTCTCAGGATACCCATATTGATGTGGACTGGTTGGATCAGAACAGGAAGGAAAGATCAGACTCACAGAAAAAAGAAGGGAGAAGAAGCATAGACTTTAGCACATGGTATATCCACTTAGAGCAATAGTAGAGTGAAAATCTAGGGAAGGTAATAGAGATTATAGGGGTCAACTCAAGTAATCCTCAAGGCTGCAAAGTGAAGAAAAAAAATTTAAGCCAAAAGTAGGAAATAGGGTATACCTAGGTACACCCAAAAAGGTAGCCATTGTTTAGATTCTATGGCAGGGCAGATGTTCTTATGTATGTGACCCAAAGGTTATGATAAAGGTTATGGAGAATGACAAGAGAATAAGCCTTTTAAACAATTATTCCTATCATCGTATACATGTAGATATGGGATGGAAGGCAGAAAAGAAACAGACAAGAAGGGTTTTTTTAGTACACAAGGGGAAAAATTCAACTAAATTTTAAACAATGTCTAATTAATTAGTATACCCTTTGACCCTAAAAATTATATAAATTACTGCTGATAACTTTTTACTTCCAACTATAGAAACAATTCACAAGCATCACTCTATAAATCTTGATTATAGACTATTACAAGACATAGTAGCTTATCTTTAATTTCATTTGTATAAAATTTTAATATTTAAAATTCTGTGTGGGCTTAATCAAATACAGTATATATAAAAATGAATAACTTTCCATATTGGATTTCCAGATACAGATTTTGATTCTTGATAGCCAACCTTTTTATGAAAGCATGCAATGAAAACAAAAAGTTTCTGTAGTAAATCCAGAATAATCATCTCTTCATATACATTCTAAGTTATTTCCATGTTTATGCAGTTCTGTGAATATTAATTTGCCTAAATATAGGTCAGATGTACTTATAAGTTTCTCCAAATGAAATCTGCCTTCCTAATGTCATCTTTAACAGACTTTTAGACATATTCAATTATACAATTGTTACAGCTCCTGTTTGACAACAGCCTGAAAAATATAAGGCTTCAATCTAGTTGTTATAACATTAGAGTAAGCAGGTTAGTTAGACATGAACAGACTCCCTGGAATACATAGAATACCAGGTTCTTAAAACTATTTTCAGTTTTGATAGTCATAAAAACTGGTTTGCATGACTGCATCGTATCTCTGAGACAAAGTGTTTTCAAGAATTATAATCAAAAGATACATTTTATAATTCTAGAAACTTTGCTACCTGATGAAAAGGAAATAAAGAACTTTCTCTGCTTACTTTGAAGTAATCAAAGTAAGCAAAATAACTCCTTTCTTTCTGTGAGTTTCTTAGTTTTACATTGGGATGGTGCAGGAAAGAGTTTATCCTTATATTTGCCGCAAAAAAAAAAAAATCCGAGCAGCTCTCAAAAATGAAAAGATAACACTGAACAATTGAAGAGAAAAATTGGTAAAATATTAATTTACATTTTAAGATGCCTTGACCATGAAAAACCTATCTAGCTACCTATATGATTTCTCAGTACTAAGTGCCTTTTTCAATTGCACCAGAGATAGTGACATCAAAAGTCACCATTCACAGAATTAAAAATACACCAATGTTTTAATAACCAGATTCATAGATTTAGTAACATATTTAAGTTCCCAGTAATAATATATTAGGCTGAAAACTCCTCCTTATAAAAGTCTTTTATATTTTTGTTTCTTTCAGTCTAAGGAAATAATTCTGATTCAGAAGAGTCACCATCATTTTCTATTCTCACCTAGATCAAATAAAAATATTTCTTCTCTATCAAAAAGCATAAGCATTCTAAAAGTACCAGTGGATGTATCTGAACAGTCCCATTTTGTCCGAAAGATGAAAAATCATATCAGACAGGAAACATATTCTTTAGATTAGTGACAGGTGTAGAACAAGCACACCAGTCAGCCTTCATTTTTAGTGTCACAAGGCATGCTCAGTGACAGAGGATACAACTCTTCCTTTTCATTGCAGTGACACACATCACATCATACCGTCATCTACACATCACCAAGCAGAAAAGTTCTCAAACAATGAAATTACTTGATCTTGGTTGAAAGCCAGGCTATTCTTGAAGTGTAAACCTCACTATGAAAGTGTAAGATAATGGTTATAACAGTGATGATCGGGCAGATGAATCTACTTTCTCCTTAGGATTTCCTTAGTAGAAAAAGTTTCGGCCATTCTCATATTTTTCACACAAAACAGTAAACTTAGGAAATGAAATGCAGCACCTTAATTTAGATATGAAACAACCTAATTGGCAACATTTATACCTTCTAACAGCAATTTGGGGGCTTTGGTGGATTTCAAAGGTAAAAATGAGTCTTTCACCATTCCCTAGCCATGGTACCTACCAAAATTCATTTCTCATTATCATTTTCTTCCTTTCCCTGCCAAATAAAAATGTTCAGCTGCAAAACTAGGATATGACTTAAAAACAGATTCTGGAAAATGGGAGATTAAAAGAATCCCTAGTAGAAATTGGGGTTTAGAATTTACCTGTTCTGATCCCAATTGGCAGCAAAAAGGACTAAAATCTTCCTGCCATAGTGGTCCAGATTGGCCAGGCCCCCGGGGAAGCCATCCTTCAGTGCCTGCTTGATGCCAGGGTCAGTGGCCTTGAAGCTTTTGAACATGTCCAGGTTCTGCTGCCGGTACTCAAAGTACTGTGCCAGGAGGCGGAAGGCCTCGAAGTGATGAAACTTCCTGGCTCTCAAGAACCGTAAGATGAAGGCATCATCTGTGCGCAGAAAGCCAATGTCCGGCCTGGTAATGACCATATCCCTCACCTCCTGGATGTCCTGGTGCAAGGTGTCTGGGTTCTCATTGAGCTCCAGGCGAGCCTTCTCGAGGGTCTCTGGAGAGAGACCGGCTTGTAAATGAGTCATTGTTCTGACTCGGGAGCCTTCCCTTCCTCCTGCTGACTGTCCCACAACAAACCTCCACCACACTCCGGCTTCCAGACCCCGGCTAAGACCGGTTTCCTCTTCTTCTTCGCGGGAAATGATTTGCCTTGATGTCCAGTCAAGTACCCTGTTGCTCCAGCTTTCCAGCAGCTTTTTTGAAAAGGATATAAACTTCGCTCCCCAGCCCCTAAAAAAAAAAAAAAAAAAAAAAAAAAAAAAAAATACACAACGCCTGACTTTGGTTCCCTCCTCCCTGTCTTCTAAAAAGGATGTGGTCAGCCCAGTTCTTCGCTTCCTGTCCTTTCTCTCACCTAATAGAACACTCGGACTCCCAACCAGCACGGGTGTTGCCGCTCCTGGCGCGGTCCTCTTCTCTTCCAAGCTGTAACAAAAACAACCCCCACGCACATCTCAACCCCAGCGCTGCTGCGAGGCTGCTGCGGGCCCCGACTGAAGGCTCAGCCTGCCAGGGATAGCGATGGGAATTCTGATTAATAATAAGGTGGCTCTTCAGCGCTGCGCTCCAGGGCGGGGAGAAGGAATCTTGGTCAGAAAGAAAAAGAAAAGAGAAAAGAGAGCTTTATTTCTCCTTCTGCTTATCCAAAGATGCTATTTTTTTTAATTAAAGGCATTCCTGAGATTTGATTTGAAACAATTAGGATCCAATTAGGTTGGAGCCTGCAGATCACGCACATTCTTGCCTGCCCTCTTAGATGCTCCGTGATCTCATAAGGGCACCGGGAGCGTTTGGGATGGAGATGGCACCAGCGTGGGCGCCCCCCCCCAACCCCCGAACACCACCCCCAACTTCTGCCTCCCTCTAGCCCCTTTATTTCAAAGGACTGGCGGCCCGGTGGGGGTGGGGGTAGGGGCGATCGCTCCGGATACTACATCTCCAAAGCTCGAGGGATAGGAGGAAGAGGGGGGGAGGGAAGATGGGGCGCAGAGGATGAAATGAGCTCTACCTTTTTCCTATCAAACCCCAAAGCTGGAGAAGAGAAAGAGCAACCGACTCCTACCAGCACAGCCGGAGGCGGGGACGCTAAGCAATGCGGCACTCCCCGGCATCCATCAGCTTCGGCAGCGGCGACGGCAGCATCAACTCCTCTGGGTGGGATGGAGAGAGCAGAGAAAGGGGGCGGCAGCTGGGACCCGGGCCGAAGACCACCTGGGTGGCAACCTTGGCCGCATCGTCCGCTGCTTCTTCCAGTCGGCGGGGGTGCGGGGGGCCGAGAGAGAAGAGGAGACTAGGGTGCCCCCCGCTGTCACGGGTCCACCCCCGGCCCTACCACGCTCGCCTCGAGGAGAGGAGAAGAGAGGGAGCGGGACTCCTGGGCCTGGGTGGCAAAGGCCACGAAGACGGCTGCCGCCTTTGTGCGCCCCGAGCGGCCCGGGCCGAGGCGGCGGGGCTCCAGCCCGTCTCGGGGCGCGCACGGGCGGCGGGAGTCAGGTGCGCCTCTCCGGGCGGCGGCTGCGGCTCCCACCGCCGCGGCTAAAAGAAGACTCGGCTCAGCCCAACTCCTCTCTAATTATCCCAGCACCGAGCTGGCTGCTACGTAAGCACCCAGCTCACGCATGCACCCGGCTCCCCTCCGCTGCTCTCCCTCTCCCCTCTACCTCTCCTCCCCCCTCTCTCTCTCTGACGGGTCTGGATCGGATGACAATTTCGGGGGGCATCGAAATAGCCGGAGCCCCAAGTTCAGCGGGCTTCGGGAGCCACTCCCAGGCTGGCTACTGGAGCGGACAACGCCTAGCCAGGTGGGGCAGTGACGCCTCACAGCCTCCCCCACGCCCCTCGCTCACCCTTTGTGTAGGAGACCCCCCGGGACGTCCGGGGCCAGTGGCAGCTGGAGACGGTAATTCACACGGACCCCTCACCCCCACCCTACAGTCGGGTTACTGCGGGAGGCAGGTTTGGAGTGGAAGCCAGTACAAGAAACGTTTTCGACTTTCCGCATTTGGTTGTTGACAATAATGTTGCATTCAGAAAAGAAGATCCGAGTGGTTCCAAAGCATCCGGTTGATGATGAAACCTCTGGAGGAACTTATAGGAAGAGTCGTCAGTCGTAAAACTCCGGCTGGCTGGCTAAATTCCTATTGAAAGAGCACCCAAATGAGCTCGTGGCAGAAAAAAAAATTTTTTTTTAAATTCAAGGGGGCGGGGGAGGGAAATCTCCAGGGAAGGCAAAATAGCCTGTTTTAGAATCACTTTTCTTCCAATAATAATTTCTGGAGACAAGTGATTGTTCCCTCGGTTTTCCCCATCTGTATACTGAAATCATTCATAAATGACAGGCTCTTTAAGCTGAAAATGACTATCTATGGCGTGATCCGCATTGCTGAGTATGTCACTAAGAGCAACTTTTGCCTTACAAACTGGGGGGGGGGGGGGCGGGGGGGGGGGCAAGGTCCTGAACTCCAGTCCACTCAAGTCAGCATAGCATTACTGAGGTCCATTGGAATATAACACGTTGTTCTTGAGTCAATAAGGAGGTCTCCTTTGAAGATAGGAAAGACTGTAAACTTGGAATTAGGAGAATCCACCAATTATAGACAGGGATGGCAAATCTATATTGTTGTAGTAATTAAATCAAATCAAAGTAATGTAGGCATTAGAATAAGAATAAATAACACATTATTTTTCAAGGAAATTACATTTTAAGTCAGAGAAACAAAAAAACAGCATATATAAGTGTACATTTCATATATACGCGTATGAAATATGTAACTGGATACACCTAACAATTCTTCTTATGGGACTGGAGAGATAGCACAGCGTGTAGGGCATTTGCCTTGCACGCGGCCGACCCAGATTCAATTCACAGCATCCCATATGGTCCCCTGAGCACCGCCAGAAGTAACTCCTGAGTGCAGAGCCAGGAGTAAGCCCTGTGCATCGCTGGGTGTGACCCAAAAAGCAATAAATAAATAAATAAATAAATTCTTCTTGTAATTGATGTGGTTATGATTCTCCCAAACATTCTAAATGCAATTTGCGTTGTTAACTAATTTGGTTCCTCTTTCAAGAAATGTTTCTAAATTCATTTTGGGCTAGTACTCTAGAAATTGAAGATAATTTTTCTTATGTTATCTACATAATGAGATTTTAATGATCAGAAATAAGAAATTTCTTCAAGAGCCTTTTATGCCTGTTTAATGATTGAAACTCTAGCTGCCCTTTCTGAAGAGCTTAGAAGGTAGAGATAGCACCTCCATCTGAAGGAAAGGTTCATTCACACAGTTTTATTTATTTTATTTTTTGTGGTCACATCCAGCGATGCACAAGGGTTACTCCTGGCTCTGCACTCAGGAGTAACTCCTGGCAGTGCTCAGGGGACCATATGGGATGTGGGAATGGAACCCGGGTTGGCCGCATGCAAGGCAAACGCCCTACCCACTGTGCTATCTCTCCAACCCCATTCGCAAAGAGTTTTAGAAGATCTAGTGACACTCTCCCTAGCAAAAGGCAGAGACCTATTTACGATTCCTAAACTAAGCGCTGATCTACTCTAGAGCCACTCTTTGTGCTCTCTGTGCAATGTCCCCTCATCCCCTGCACTACTAACTCTGAGGAATTGGAACTCAATCAACCAGAGTAAAATGTGCTCATGAGTTCCAAAGCTGCCCACAGTGTCTGAGCAATAGTTTGCTTGATTTTTAACCTAGAAGTTTGGTATCTTCTACCAACATCCCAAAATCTGTGACTAGCTAGCTTAGCACAGTGGTAGGGCGTTTGCCTTGCACGCAGCCAACATGGCCGACCCAAGTTTGATTCCTCCGCCCCTCTCGGAGAGCCCGGCAAGCTACCAAGAGTATCTGACCCACCCTGCAGAGCATAGCAAGCTACCCGTGACGTATTCGGTATGCTAAACACAGTAACAATAAAGTCTCCAATGGAGACGTTACTGGGCCCACTCGAGCAAATCAATGAACAACGGGAGGACAGCTAGCTTGAGGAACTTTCAAGTAGATTTAAATCTCAGATCCTTCAAGGCACTTCAAAATCAAGTCCTTATTTTTGCTAAGACAATATTTTCATAGAGAACTTTGTAAAGTAAAAATCGTATAATTTCTGGGCTGGAGAGATAGCACAGCAGGTAGGGCGTTTGCCTTGCACGCGGCCAACCCAGGTTTGATTTCCAGCATCCCATATGGTTCCCTGAGCACCGCCAGGAGTAACTCCTAAGTGCAGAGCCAGGAGTAATACCTGTGCATCGCCAGGTGTGACCCAAAAAGCAAAAAAAAAAAAGTTATAATTTCTATTTAGTGATCATATCTTATATATTATTAAAATAATTGCTTCAAATAAATTTGCTTTACTGCTTTGTTGTTTGTTTTTGAAGCACACCCAGTGATGCTCAGGGTTTACTTCTGGTTCTGTCCTCAGGGAACACTCCTGGGATAGCTCTGAGGATAGGGCAGGTTGGCTAGAGGCACGGCAAGTGTTCTATCTGTTTTACTGGCTCTACAGCCCCACGAGACCTCATGTTTGTCAGTTTTGTTTGGGGGCCATACTGGTCAGTGTTTAGAGCTTACTGCTTGCTATGCATTCGAGGATCTTTCCAGGGTGGATTGAGGGGACCATACGGGAGATAAAATCAGGATCAGCTGTGTGTAAGGTAAGCGTCTTTTCTGCTGTACTGTCTTTCTGGCCCCATTACATTTATTATTATATCATATAAATAAAATTTCATACAGTACCGTTGTTAGTAGTAGGCCCGCTTAGCACTGCACTGTAGCAATGTCCTCCTGTTATTCATCAATTTGCTCAAGTGGGCCCAGTAACGTCTCCATTGTGAGACTTGTTGTTACTGTATTTTGCATATTGAATACATCATGGGGAACTTGCCAGGCTCTGCCGTGCAGGCAAGATACTCTCGGTAGCTCACCGGGCTCTTCGAGAGGGGCGGAGGAATTGAACGCAGGTCAGCCGGGTTGGCCGCGTGCAAGGTAAACACCCTACCCGTTGTCCTATCACTCCAGCCCAGTCTGATTAGAAATACATAATAATATTTTCATC